AAGTCAGATCAAGGCCTCTGAGCGTTCAGTGAATCTGGAAGTCTTTAAGAAGTGGAGATAGCTGCAGGTAAATTACTTGATGATGGCAGTTTTCACGGGTCATATGTGGCAGTCTGCATGCTGCTCTTTTGAAGGGATTTGAGTTGTGTTTGATGACATAAGGTGGTGGCCCGCAGGAGCAGGGAGGGCCTGTCAACCAGTGCAGAAGAGTCCTCCCAACTTCCTGAAGGAGAATCTGCAGAGCAAGTGGCCCTTCCTCCACAAGAAGAGAATCCATTATGTTTTGAACGCCCTGGTATCAGAATCTTGTTGGGATGGCTGCATTTTCTGGAGAATTGAAGACTTGTCCTTCTGCAGCATCAAGCTGGCCCTTTGCCTCATGGTGGCTGGCTCTGAAGCCAATGTCCTTGGCACCTTCCTCCGGTGGCAGCATCATAGTGGCCCCCTCGGCCCCATTAGTGCTGTGGTCCTCTTGGGGAATCTGAGCCAGTGCAGCTGGGCAGACCTAGGTTCTCCAGACTGCGCACATATCAATTCCAACTTAGGGAGAGCATCCAGGGTCACATGTCTGCTCCACTGATGGAGGCATTTCCTCAGTGCAACACCCCAGATCCTCTAGAGACTGGAAACAGTGAGGCACTGGGGAAAAGATGGAGGCAGAATGGGTAGACAGGGCTGTGGAAGCAGAAGGCTCTGGATTAAAACCCTAGTTGTGCCAGTTATGAGGTATGTGACTTGGAGCAAGGAGCTAAATTATTTAAGCCTTAGTTTCCTCATCTGTAAAATGAGGTCAGTAAGAGTACTGAAAGAGACAGTGAACAAAAAGACCTCTGCTGTAATCTGACACACAATAGGTGTGTAGCAAATGCCAGTCCCCGGCAGCATGGAGCAGAGTACAGAAGACCTTAGTTTTGTCGGTAAAGTGCCATCTGTTGCTGCATGACATTGTTATAAAGATACTGGAGATGCAGCAGGCTGCCAAGTCAAGGGCAACCAAGTGGCTCCCTTCTGTACCTTGTTGCCTTTACCTGCCCAGGCATCTGGGATGGAACATGGAAATCACAGATACTGCATGGCAGAGATAGATCCTTTGGATCCTTGGCAAAGGCTGGAACAACAATCTAAGAACTGTTGATCAGGGACTGAGGTTGCACAACCCAAGCATGAAGTAACATGGGGGAGGTTAAAGGTAGGCAAAGGTGGCCAGAGGCACCTGCCAAAATGCTGGTTATGTGTCACAGCAGAAGCAAAGGTGATAAATGACAGCTACAAGTAATACAGAAACCTCATTTTGCCAACGTATCAAATCTTTTAGATTAAATGTTGCTTAATTGTTTTAAGGTTCCTCTTCTTTTAAAGTTTCTGGCTCAATATCTAGTTAATCTAAAATCAAGTTGGCTAAAAAAAAAAAAAAAAAAGACAGGAAATTACATTAATATCCTACCAATATCTAACAATCCTTTAGAAGGAAAGTTGGCTGCATAGAGATTCCTTTTGAAAAGAAGGTGGAATTGATACCTTATAACAAGTTTATTTGTTTGTTTGGTACCGTTAAAATTTTCCATTCCTATGCTTTAACCAGCAGTAGTGACTGATACCAAATTCTGTAGGTAGGCACCCTTTATAGTTCTTTGGCTAATCTTACCTGGGACCACTCCAGTGGCTGCAACTGTCTGAGTTCAACAGGACTGGGAGGTCCAAGATGGCCTCTCTCTCATATCTGGCAGTGTGTGCTGGCTGGTGGCCAAGGTATCCTGGTCCTTCTCCACATGGCCTTTCATCCTCCAGCAGGCTAGATGGGGCTTCTGCATAGCAAGTGGTCTCAGGGTGACAGGAAAGTGAGAATGGGGCTTGCAAAGTTTCTTAAGGCCTAAGTTCTGGAATTTACACAGTGACACTTTCTACATTTTATTAGCAAAGCAATTTACAAGCCAGCCCAGATTTATGGGATGGAGAAACAGACTCTGCCACAGTGCCCGAGCAAGAAAGGGAGTAATTGAGAGACAGTTCAAGTTGGGGTAAGGGATTTTACACAGAGAACAGCATGAGGTCATCTGGTGCCGGAAACAGAGGTGGGGCATAAGGGAAGAGGCAGAGAAACCCCTGCACAGAGTCCTAGGAATGGCTGGGGTGTCACTGCAAGTGTACTGGGCACTTTACACCTTGAGAATCTGTTCCCAAAATTGATTAACACCATGCTGTGTTGGAAAAGTGGGGTTTGCTTGGAAGGCTGCAAAGCTTAGTCATTGCCCATCCTAGGCCATCCTACTCTTCCAACTGGAATAAGGAAAATGCAGTGAGAGTTAAAAAGAGGACAAAAAGAAATTGGGTGCTGCAACTAGGTGGAGGTAAGAAGCCCAACTGATGTTATAAATTTCCCTGCCCGCCCCAAAATACACATATTAATATATCCACACACAATGCCTCTTGAGGGCCGAATGGACTTCTGCTTTCTTTAGATATTCTCAAATCTCACTCACTGGCTATTTCCAGTGGATCTTATGTACTTATTGTTTGTAGAGCAATAGTGCTCATGTTTAGGTCTGCCCTTTTAAAATTTTTTGCAAGAACGTACAACTTGTTCACGTTCTTTTATTTTTAAAGAGCACTTCTTCATTTGTGTTTTTCAAAAGCTGGTGAATTTTCTTTGTAAAGATGTGGGTAGGCTTGGGGTACTTTGTCCAGCATAAGTGGGTCACAAGCTGGCAGGTCACAGGGATCCCTCCAATTTGTGCCATTTTAATGTTTATAGTATGGACGTATATGTTTGGTAATAAAACTAAACATTAATAATACTTTGCTTAGCCCTAAATAAAAATACTCCCTGGTAATACAAATACTGTAACTATATAATAATCAGTGGTACGTTAGCTTCTCAAGTTTATTTTGTATTAAGGAGATCACGTTTTTTTAAAGTCATTAAAACTCCTCAACAGCTTTATGATGTAGACGACTTGTGCTGGCAGTGTGCACCCCTAAACCTCTAAAGCCCAGCATTGTACCTAACACAGGGTAGGACTCCAGTACATACCTTATGAGCAAAAGGATGGTAGTTATTGTCATCCTTTATCCTGACAGGCAGAAACAGGTGGGTGAGTACCTGAAATCAGAATCAAACAATCATTATAACAGGAACGATGCCTGATCCTTCCATCTAGACATTAATTGTTTTCAGGTTCCTGTTGTGGTCCATGAAGAATGGAGAAAGCTAGAAGGAGTATTTTAGACAGTCCCAGAACTTTAGATTTAGAGCGTCATTGGAGGAGACATTCCCTGAACACTTACAGTAAAGAAACTCTCTTTTTCACCAGCCATTGGGTTCCTTTTTTATTTTTATTTTTTAGAAGTTTTTATTATATTGAATAGAAACCTGCCTCCTGTAATTTCTGTCTCTGGCCCATAATTCTGTATTTGGCAGTAGACAGATCAAACTCATACTGTCTTCTACACAACACTCATTCAAATCATTGAATTTCCCCCACTGGTGAATATACGACAAAAGTTGGTTTAGTTTCATAATGCAAACTCAAAGGGAAAATTATCTTGAATAATTCTATGGCAATATGTGGAAAGTTTAGGGGCTGTATACACAACTTATGGTTTTGAACTATGTGGTTAAAGACATTGAGAGTTGACAGATTAATCAGGGATTTGTCAAGTATTAGTTACAAACATTGAAATCTTGGTCAGGGAAAGTTCATTTTAGTGTATCTTGAAAATATGATCAAAGTATTTTCAGTACTGATTTGATGATGTTTAACCACAGTGTGTGAAGAATGAAGCGTTTCATTAGAAATTACTGATTCTATAGAGAACAAGCTGTATTGTTGGACTATTATGCTCTTTCCCCACTCTATCTCTACCTCCTACTCCCCCCTCCCCATTTTTGGGACCCCCTCATCTCTGAACACCTGAAATGACATTTCAGACTGCTGAAAAGAAGACTGGGGTCTTAACATCAGTGCACCTCAGTGATGACCACCACATGAGGGCAAAGGTGGAGCTGATATAAGTGATGCTTTTAAAACTATAAAAATAAACCATGAAAACCTGGTGGTTTGCTGTGATTTGGGGAGCAAAAGAAATTTATAAGTGGCTGAAAACTGAAAAAATGGAGGAGTATAGTGGGTAGCAGTTTAGGGGAAAGGAAAGCAAGCAGTCCCTCTGCCCTCGTTTAGTTTTAGAAAAACAATCTATTATTCTGGTACTTTTCTCTGGGAATTAAAAAAAATGCACTAGCACCTAAACCATGGAAAATGAAATAAAAATACACCTAGTGCAGCTTCTCCAAAACACTGGCCTGTATCTTTCCCTCTCTTTTGCTGCGAATGTCTTATCCATGCCTTCCCACGGCTGCCAGGACTACCGAGTTTATTTGCGGGGGTTCCTTGGTGTTTGCGTTAACAGGTCAATTTTCCGCAGCAGCCAGGTGGAAGGTGACCAATGCCTAGCCTTGATCTACCCGTCCCACCGTGCCAGGTTTCAAGAACCCTGGCCTAGGGCCTGCCAGGGATCTGAAGGCGCTAGTCTGGGAAGATTAGAGTAGGTCTCCACTGGTTCACCTGTTCTGAGACTCTTTCTCTTCAGTTGCCTCTGAGCACCAGAGGGTGGCACCCCAGGCACTCCAGAGGTGGAGAGGAGGGGACGCGAGGGAAAGAAAAGAAAGAAGCGGTGGGGCGGACAGAGGAGGGAAGGGGAGGAGAGGGGAACATTAATAAATTCTCAGACCTTGGGCTCAAGTTCCCGGCTAAACTCCCACCCTTTTATGGAAAAAGCCTGAGTTTCCACCGGACTAGGTGTCAAGCGTTAGCAATTTCTAAGATAGAAAAGACTACCGAGGGTTATTCATGACCAACAGCTTCTACCCTCCTGGGTCTCCAGGAAACTAGTTTCCGTGGCCGCTGGGTGTGCAGGTGTCTGGGGTGGGCGGAAAGCCTCTGGCACTAGATCGCTGTGAGTGCGCCAACATCTGACCTGTCCCCTTGTGTCGTGTTTTGCAGTTGCTGGATTTGTGCGACTCGGTGAAAGATGATGCCCTGAGGGTGATCTCCGCCTTTAACATTCCACACACCAACCTCCACGCCCCAATCGCCGGAATCCCCAACCCGCGGGCCGCCTGGGCCTTCTACCCTGCGCCACTGCAGCCGCTGGCCCGGGACGAGGCGCGCTCTCAGAGGCCCGAGCTGGAAGCCAGGCTATAACGGGCGTGGCGAGAAGTGTGTCCCGCGCGCAGCTGCCACGACGCTCGCCTCACTGATGCCGGGCTGGCACGCGCTGGGCCGCCGCCCTCGGGGATTTTGGTCACGGAGCAGAGGTCCCGCCGAGGGTGGAGAGGCGCGTGGCCGCGTGGCGGACTCTTGGGAAAGGGAGCCAGGCGGTCGCCCGGTGTGCGGCCCTTCAGCCTATCCCTGTACCCTCACCTGGCCTGGCCGCAACCTTTCCTAGCTTCGGGGCACCCGATCCCCTTAGACAATCAGGGTGGGCTCCCGCCCAACCGCGCGAGCTTGCCCCACAGCCGGGTACCGCCAAAGGTCTCCTGCGGTCAGCGATGACTCAGATCCCCCTAGCGCCCCCCCGCCCCCCGTGATTTCAAAAAATTGTGGTGCTGGGTGAAAAAAAAAAATCACTCTCAGACAAAAGAATAAAGCTCCATTCTTTCTGAGAGCGGGCAAAAAGGTTCATTTCAGCAAATGGTGCTTTTCCAGTTAATCAGACCCTCTAGTCCCCCCCGCACCCCGAGGAAATGCACGGACGGGGAGACGGGAGTCGGAGCCTGGAGTTTTGCTCTCAGCAAAGCAAGAACTAGGGCTTGTCTTCCCAGACCGGCGGTTTCCGGGCCGCAAGACAACGCGCGGGAAAACATTTTACCATATAAAGCGGTGATCTGTCCTCTAGAAGAGCACTGATACAAAGTTTAGTAAGTTAAGCGATGTGGAAGGCGCTCCCGCCGCTTGCAGAGGACGGCGAGGCGGGCTGGGGCAATACACTGCAGTGAGTCGGTTTCAGAACTAGGAGAGACCACATAGGTGATGCCTGTGGTCCAAGGCAAGGGCCATGGATTTCCCATTTCTCGGATCCCTGTAGCCCGATTTCTTTCTTCTTTCTCTGTTCTCCCTCCCTCCACATCTCTTGGCAGAGGTAGGAAAGGACAGCGCTCTGCCCGCGTCTGCGAGGGCGGCGTCCAGGACCAGTGACCTAAAGCCCGCAGGCATTCTCACGCTGCCCTTGCTCTGCGCTCGGCCCTGTTCCGGGAGGACCTCCCCACTCCCCGGGAGAAGGCCGCAAGAGCTCGAGGCCACCCGACGCAGGACACCAGGTCGAAGCTCCTTAGCACACCCTGTGTCGCGGCGGACACATGAACCACCGCCTTCGGACCGGATTCCTTTTTACGCCCCAAATCCGAGCGCTTGGCCAGCTGCTTTCCCCGACGCCTTTGTTTTTCAAAGAGTTTACAGGGTCGTGAGAGCGAGCGACGCGGGGGCGGCGGGGCAGCACAGGAACAAACAACAGGGCTTTCTTCTGCCTGCGTGGTCCTTTTCCGGTCCCTGTCTGCGTCGCCGGACCCCGCGGAGAGCGTGGAGCACTCCGGCGTGCGGTGGGTTTGGGGCTCTCAGCCAGCGCAGCAGGTCCTGTTGCTTTTCCCCAGTGCGACGCGGGGCAGCCAAGGCGCAGTTCGCCCGCGGCTGCCACCGAGGGTCTCGAGCAGGAGCTCCGAGCCGCACTCAGGCCAGACCTTCGGCCGCCGAGTTTACTTCGCCGCGGCAAGGCCCATGCCCTTTCCCTCTTGCAGCGAAATAACCGGGCGGGGCTCGGCGCGCGTCCTCCAACCCGGGGCCTTCTTTACCTTGCTCAGGACTCGCCCGAGAATGCTCTGAGGAGACTTTGACCTGGAGCTGTGCTGTGTCACGCTAACACTATAGGTCTGCTTATGAACATAAAGACTGACCAAGGTGTCCCGACGACGGGACAATGTCTCCTCGCTTGCTCCTCTACGCTGAGGCCCCCTCCTTCTCCCGGCCGGCAAGGGTGTGGGTCAGGGCGGCCTCTCAATTGCGTTTCCTTAATCCATCTCGCCTGACCTCCCCTTCAGGATGTTCCATTTCCCCACCCCAACCTCCTTCACCCCCGCTGCGGTGGTGCCAAAGCCGGGGGCTGGGGCACAGAGGCGCCCGGGGAGCGGGCAGGAGGGGCGGGTCGGGGCGCGGGCTCGGAGAAGCAATGGAGCGGGCGTGGAGAGTAGCGTCGGAGGAGAAGGATGGAGACGCGGGGGCAGGAGGGACGGCAGGTATTGCGCCCCCCATACGGCAGCCTGAACTCCGCTGCTCCGCCTTCACTAGCCTCATCCCGCCGGGGGACGATTCCCAAGCGGTTCTCCGGGAGCTCAGCAAATCTCGAGGTTCCCAACCGAACGTAGGCACAACCTTCTCTCTCACCTGGAGGCTGTGACTCTCTTTGGTGTCTTTTTTTTCCTTAAAGGATTTATTTTTTGAGTTCTTTTTTCATTTCCTTATTTTACCTGCTCTACAGACACCCGCATCCCGCCCCTCACCCGGGGTCGGTCCTTGCCCTTTTCTGGACTCCTCCTCGCCCCACGGGCTCTGTCTCTTAGGCAGACCGAGCGCGACAGAAAAAATGGAGAGCCCCTGAGGGGTGGCAGGAAGAGGGTGCCTAGAGTCTGGCGCCACGGACCCTCAGAGGGAGGAGAGTTCAAAGACCCTGCACCCGCGCTTTCTCGAGGGCCAACCCCGTCCCCGCGCCTGCCCTGGAGCGGCTGAAAAACTGTCTCCGCGCACAGCCAGAGCGCGGGGGCGCCTCCGGAGGCTTTCCTCCGCGCCGCGGTCGGCCGGGCTTGGAGTGTGTTCCGAGCGCCCCCTCTGTTGTGCGCACATGCGGCAGCCGCCACCAGGTTGGGCGAGGCGAGGGTACACTTCGGAGTGGGGGATGGGCGGGCGCACAGCCGCCAGCAGGCCGAGTCACTTGCCGAGTAAACACGCCAGGGACGGGGGCGCGCGCGGCGGGAAAGCTAGCGAGGCCACCCGCGCCTTTACCTGTCCGAGCCTGCACGCGCCGGCGGCCGCGGCGCCGCGGGGGCGGGGCTTGCCAGCCCCCGCGCCGGGGCGGGACCTAGCGGGGGCGGGGCCCGCGGTGATTGGGCGCGGGTGCGGGGCCGCCAGCCTGAGCAGGGCTCCAGGGCCGCGCAGGTTTCACTTCGTTCCGCGCAGCCTCGGGGTTTCCAGCTTGTGCTAGCGCTGCGTCCAGCGCCACCGCCGCCGGATTCTTGCAGCCACCTTGCGAGCCTTGCCATATTACAGTCAGCACCGTCTCTGGCTGTTCGGTTCACCCCGCTACCGCTGCCGCCGCCTCGGCGTCCTTCCCCTGGCCCTCGTCCCCCCAATGTCTGACTCCGATTCTCGAACTGAGAAACGCAAGGTAAATACCTCCGAATCCCGGGGAGCGGGCCGGGGATGGATGGAAGACAGGCGCCAGAGCCCGAACGGCTCCACCTACTGCCCGCTTCCCGCGCACGTGCGAGCGGAGACGCTGGTATTGGTCCCGCTTGTCGCCGGGCGGGAGGCGGCGATCGGGGTGGGTCTGGTTGCCTCCCGGGCAGGTCCACTTTGTGGAAGGGTCGTTGGCCCAGAAGCTGCGTGCATTTGGCTGAAGTGCGGCTTGGGCTGGGATAGAGCGCGCGGGCGCGGTGAGGGGTCGCAGGCCGGGATGGAAGAGATAGCGCATGCTCTCGGCACCGGCCGGGGAGTTGGGGGCCGCTCCGTGGTACAGGGCTCAGCGCCCAGCAGGGAAGTCGGGCCGCCTGCCCCAGCGACCCCGCGTAGCGGCCGCGCGGTGCTAGCGGGTTTCATGTCTTGTCTCTTGGGCGCGCGGGCTTGTTCCAGAGGGTTTGCGGAACTGCGGTGGTGGTTTAACTCACGAGACTGGGCTTTTCATTTTACTCTTTTAGGCCGAGGTTTCGGGGCCGCTGCTGCATTCGCCCTCTTGGACGTGCCTGGGGACCCTTCTTGGTCTACGGGCGTCCTTCGGACCGTGCCAGCTGCACAGTCCACAGGCAGCAAGAGACCTAGGTTTTCCCCTGACCACCGGGGCCACGCAGGGGACGATTGCGGCCCGCAGGACTTGCACAGTCTGTGGGGCCGGACTGTCTTAGTGGCTATAGCGTGCCCGAGAGCACCCGGCCCCATTTGCCATGCAGCCTGGCAGCGCCGTGCCCTCTGGGGCCTGTTATCCCAAAGTTGGCGCTGCTGGGGGATGGACGCCCGGGCTGGGGGTTGTGGATATGCTTGGTGCCCGCCGTGGTCGCGGATGTGCGCGTCCTTGGCCGGGGGTGGCTGCTCAGATTTGGCGCGTGTCTGCAGCACACGGGAAGAAAGAGGGAGGAAGTTGTTGGAGACGGATAACCAAGCCGGGGCAGGGACGGCTGTTGGGGTATCACCCCGACCGGCCAGACGGAGGACCTCCCTGCCGGTGCATGCAGAGTGCAGGTCCTGCCTTGTCTTCAGGTGACTGGCTGCCCGGGGTAGCGGGAGCTGCTGAGGCGTGCGCGGTGGCCCGATGGAGCACAGGGACAGGGCTGGGTAGCGGGGCAGCCCGGCCCCCAAAGCTTCTGCCGAGGCTGCCGCCGCCGCCTCTGCGGCCGGAGAAGCGCTCGGAGGCGAGTTTGTCAACAATCGCCTCGCCTTGGCGGCCTGACCTATAGGCGCCGCCCCCGCCACGGCTGCCGATTGGCCGCTTGGCTGCGGAGAGACCGCGCGCGAGCCAATTGGGAGCGCGGGCACCCGGCGCCAGTGGCTCGGGAGGTCGGCGGTGCCGGCGGCGGCGGGCGCAGAGCGCGAGGGGAGGAGCGGGAGGAGGCGGAGGATGTTCCCGGCGGCGGCGGCCGGGGCAGCGCGGGCCAGAAGCGCGGCGCGCGGAGTCCTCGGGTGCCCGGCGGAGCGCGGCTGGCGGGCGTTAAGGCGCGTGCTCTGCGCTGCCCTGGGGACTCTGAATCCGAGTCCTGGGCTTTGTCTCCCTCATTGCCTTCGTGGGGACGCTCAGGGGGCGCCGGGTCGGCGAAGGGCGCGGGCCGGACGCCGCGGGACCCGGGCCTGGACAATACGCTCGGAAGGGAAGGGGCGGACTGTGAGTTTCGGCGTGATTGCCTTCTGAGGGGAGGGTCTTTAGGGTGAAGGAGGCGCGCGCCGGTGTCGCCTACCGTGCAGAACTAGTTGCAGACTTTGCAGCGGGTGCCAGGGCACGGCTTCAGGGGTCCCTTATTTGAAGGTGTTCACCTTACAGTACGGCTGCACCTCGGAGAAGTTCTGTCCGGTTCGGTGCGGCGCCAGAGCCGGGAGCGGGAGGGACCGCGGGCGCAGAGCGCCAGAGCCAGGCTGAGCCGAGCTCTGAGTTACAAACTCTATTGTGACGCACTTACTACGACTGACGGCCGCTGCCAAACCTTCCCCAGACTTGCTGCCCTCAGCATTTTCGGCAAACAATGGGGCCAGAGCGGGGAACGCGGCCAGCCGCCTGCAATCGCTGCATCTGCACCCGCTCCTGTGCTCTAGCGCGGCATCTGATCCCGGGAAATCAGAGCCCGCTGGGAGTTTTTGACTTATTCCAGTCAGTCCTGAGCAAAGAGCACATGTGAACAGATTTCAGACAAGCTGCTTCTCTTAAAGCTTGCGTGTGTCTGTGTGTGTTTGTGTGTGTGTGTGTGTGTGTGTGTGTGTGTGTAAGTGAAAGCGCCAGTTCCACAAGCAATTGAAATTGTTACTGTGTTTTGTTTGGTGGTATGAAGTTTAGTCCCAACCCCCCACCAAAAAAGATAATCATACCTTTGTTATTTTAGGTGTATTTTTATTCTTATTTGGAAAAGTGTCAGAGAAGTATACACAATGTAGCAACTTAATTTTAAAGTATTTGAGATTAATTCTTAAGAATTTTTTAATGAATAGGCGAAAGATAGCTAATTTATTTATTCTTTGTAGTTACTATTTTGCCTAAGATAATAGTTTTTCTTTTTATTTTACTTGCAGAAAAAAAGACCAAATGGCAAAGCAACCTTCCGATGTAGGTTCTGAGTGTGACCGAGAAGGTGGACAGTTGCAATCTGTGGAGAGACCTCCCCAGCTCAGGCCTGGGGCCCCTACCTCCCTACAGACAGAGCCCCAAGGTAATCCCGAAGGCAGTCGGGAAGGCGAAGGGGACCGCTGCTCCCACGGCAGCCCTCAGGGCCCGCTGGCCCCACCGGCCAGCCCTGGCCCTTTTGCTACCAGATCCCCGCTTTTCATCTTTGTGAGAAGATCCTCCCTGCTGTCTCGATCCTCCAGTGGGTATTTCTCTTTTGACACAGACAGGAGCCCAGCACCCATGAGTTGTGACAAATCAACACAAACCCCAAGTCCTCCTTGCCAGGCCTTCAACCATTATCTCAGTGCAATGGGTAAGCAATACCCGGGTAAGAGGCAGTTGGCATGTGGTTGTTTGAATATGTTTAAAAACTGTGCATAGTATATAAAGCCCCCTTTTTAGAATCTCTTAACTGATTTGTTCCATTTTTGATGGGAATGGAGAATGTGTCAAATATATCAAATAAGCATTTTTGTCAATGCTATTAAATTCTGTGGCAGCCATGAGTAGAGGTCCAAACATTAGCCTTTGGGGAGATACAGCTTGAATCTCAGCTGCCTTCACTAAGCTTATAGCATAATCATGGTGTGTTGTCTGAACCACTAGCCTTTACATGTTAATGTCATTTTGCTTAAAAGGAATCTGGTCAGTTATAGAATATAGCTTAATAACAGAACCAAAATTGTGAAGAAAGATGAGACAAGTTAATCATTTTCAAAAATGACATTTTTGGAAAATGAACTAGTTCATGTAATGTAAGCAGTACTAACATAGAACCATGAAAATGGTTTGTTTTCTACTCAAATTCTTCTTTGGGCTTATTGCTTAGAGGATTTGGATGTAATGCTCATGAGATTAGGTTGTAGGTTTTTATTTTAGGAATTGAAGACAGTTTTAGGGTCTGAATCAAGAATGGCAAACATAAGTACCTGGAGAGGCCTGCAGTAATATCAGTGAGAGACCTGAGCTGGTGGAGGTTGTAGCTAGTTGGAGAGCATTTGCCCCTTCTGCATTAGGGCTACCCCTAATTGTAGCTGTGAAGGCAGGTGGTCTCAGAGTGGTAGGTTTTCCTATATTGCAGGATAATCCAGGAATGCAGATTTTGATGCCAAATATCCTGTTTCAACACTGACAACTTATTTAGATCTTTGAAAACATTGTACAAGCCAAACAAACATCTGCAGGCTTGATTTGACACCTGAGCCTTCCCCACGTGACTTTTTGTATAGTTCTGTTAACGGTAGTCTGTGTTGGTTCAACTTGCTGTTCCCTGCTAATGGAAAAGGTTCATGTCTTGATCAGTATTCACCATAATCACTCTAACCATTTGTCCAGACTATCCTGCTCTACATGAATAAGATAAGTAAGTTGATAGTGTTATTGATTAGGAAATTCAGTATAGACTTAAAATTTGGGTCACACTTATCATGCCAAAGTCTAAAAGTCAGCTGACTAGACACTCGAATTCTGGAACACACTGATAGATCTTGCATTTGTAAGTACCGTACAGCTCTGTCTTCATAATCCTTAGGTAAATGAGGCAGGCCTGTCACACGTTACAGAATTGGGTGTCCGAGGGGTGGTCACTTGTCAGAAGTTGGGCACACCTGGGAAATGGTAGGGAAAAATGGCAAAAATACCAACAGCTACACATGTTGGCTGCACACTCCTGTTAAATGCTGGGAGATACTTTATTATGGCCTTTCCTTAGCGGAAGGAGCTAGAAGTCTTATTGCTGCTACTGCTGCTCCCAAACTCATTTCAGCCTTTGAAATTCTTGGTGCTTGTAACTATTCTTCTATCCATGAAAATGTTCCAGTATATGTATGAACCTATAGCATTCTTGCTTACACTAAATAAGTAATAGGATTTATGGTATGTATACTTAAAAACCTGGATATTTTTAGAACCCTCTAGAAGCTATTACAGTTTCATTACAGACCTATATACATCAGGTGGTGGCTTAATGCATGGAAATAGTTTCTCCTTCCCTGGTAACTAGGAATAGTCAGTGAGTTAGTGTATTTACTGTAAACACAGGCACCAGTGCTTTTCTTGGTGACAAATGCTATTTAACAAGCTAATTATAAGGTATGCACCGTTACTTGAGATGACAGATATAAAGCTTTAAAGATCACAATCTAAATTATTAAGCAAAATTAATGGTTATACCTGTGAAGTAAAGTAATGGATCCTGATGTGTAATTTTATAGTATTAACTACATTTCAGTAGATTGGTGTGATAACTTAGAGTTTAATGCTTGGGATTAAATGAGAAATTGTAAGGACTTTGTTTGAAGTTAGTGTACCAAGGTAAGTTTTCAGTGTTCTTGGGAGATTTGTTTTGGTGGAGGACAAGTTGAGGTTAGGGGAGGGGAGAATTACTTGTGGAAGGAAAGGGCTTAGCCAGATGTGAGTTTATTAAATTGAAGCATAAAATTTACAATTTTTGCAGTCTGTAACTAACTTTTTTCTCTGGCCATTCTCAGAGTCTTAGCTCAGTGCCTAAAGTCCTCTGAAATATGCTGAATTGATAAGTGGTTCTCTTATCTTTGTAGGCTTTTTTAGTGTTCCTTACTCAACCATATCCATTAAGATCTTCAATGAAGCTTTTGAATAATGTATTTCAAAATACATTTTTCACAAAGAAGTCTTTATGATTGCTTTGAACCAGTGGAACACAAATGTGAGGGTTATAAAGAAGTTCTCCCTAGCTAGGGGCTCCTTCAGCCACAAAATAGTTTTCTTCTCAGCAACTTGGGGTAGAGAACAGTGTATCTTGAAGTTTTATTGTTGCATCTTTGTTCTAATGAGAAAGTGAAGTCTTATGTGGGATGCACAGCAGTTAGGTGTTTGTGCTAGAAATGTTTTCATGTTTTCCTTCATGTCTCTGATGTTTTCTGAAGACATGTTCAAAGAATATTATATTTATCCGTCCGGGGATAGATACAGTTTTTATACTTTGCCTCAATTTTAGCTTCCTTACACTCTGGGAGGATTAACTTAGCAAGTGATGTGTTAGTCTGTGAATAACTGATTCTTTTAATCAAAATCACCCACATGTGTTGGTTTACCAAGTGCCTTTTTGGGTGCGTGTTTTTATGCCATATGAGTTTTTAATGCAAATTATTAAATCCTGTTCAAATTCTTACTCTGAAGTGTAGTCAGTGCAACCTGGAAATATGTGTTGAGAATGTTCAAGGTGTGGATGTACTCTTGTTATTAATAACTCCTTCATACCATGTTTGTAAATGTTTTAAACTTTTTACTTGTTCCCTGGCACAAGTAAATTGCTTTCTTCTTTGTGTCCCTCGGAATCTTGTGGGTACTTCCTTTGTAGCTGGTAATTGTCTGATCCCTCCTTTAGAGGGGAAGGCCTGAACTCCTGCACATCCCAGTGAGTCCCTGACAAAGAGGAAGAGCCCAGGAAATGTTGAAAGTCAATCCAGCTCTGCCTAGTAGCCTTTTGAAGGAGCAGTTTTTAACTGAGGACATGTAAAGCAGGTAGCAAGTAAAGACCCTATCCCCTGTCTCCCTCTTAATTACCTGGGTCCGGCTGTAAAGTTTGTCACATAGGGTTGGCAAGTAAGGTCTGTCTCAGCACTGCCCAGTAGGGAAGCCACATGTGTGTTAAGCCCTTGACATGAGACCAGTTCAAATTGAGATGTGCTGTCAGTGTCAGCTCATGCTGGGTTTTGAGGACTTAGTACACAAAAAAGAACGAAAGACATCTCAATCATTTTCATATGGATTGCATATTGAAATGATGTTTTACACATATGGGTTAAATAAAATATAAATTTTTTTATTGTAGTTAAAAAACCATAAAACCATCTTCACCATTTATTTCTCAGTTTGTGGTTCACTAGTGTTAAGTACATTTCCATTATTGTACAGCCAATCTCTAGAACTTTTTCATCTTGCAAAACTGAAACTCTGCGCCCGTTAAACAACTCCCCATTTGCTCCTTCCTCCAGCTCCTGACAGCCACCATTCTACTTTCTGTCTCCGAGTTTGACTACTTCAGTACCTTGTATAAGTAGAATCATACACGATTTGTCTTTTGCTGACTGGCTTGTTTCACTTAGCATAATGTCCTCAAGGATCATTTTATCTTGTAGCATGTCAGAATTTCCTTCCTTGTTAAGGCTGAACAGTGTTCCAATGTATGTATGATACATACCACATCTTGTTCACCCATTCCTCCATCAGTGGACATTTGGCATGCTTCTGCTTTTTGGCTATTGTGCATAGTGCTGCTATGAACATGGGTATGCAAATAGCTTTGAGATTCTGCTTTGATTTCTTCTAGATATATACTCAGAGGTGGGATTGCTGGATTATATGGTCATTTTATTTTTAATTTTTTGAGGAACCACCATGCTGTTTTCCATAGAGGCTGCACCATTTTACATTCGCATCAACAGTGCACAAAGGTTCCAATTACTCCATGCCCTCACTCACTGACACTTGCTATTTTCTGTTTCGTGTGGTGGTTTTTTTTTTTTTTTCCTTTCTTTTACAGTAGCCATCCTAATGGATGCGGGTGATAGCTCACTGCAATTTTGATTTATATTTACCTAATTATGGGCATCTTTTCATATGCTTGTTAGCTCCTAAATAAAATATATTTATAGTATTAATTTTACCTGTTTCTTTTTACTTTTAGTACAGCTACCAGAAAAATGTAAAATTAGGTCTGTGGCTTGTGTTCTGTTTTGACTGGACAGGCTTTCCTTGCAGATGGATGAGCTGGAATGTGCAGTGGTGCTTCAGCAAGCAAGACCTTATTCTTCCCACTCTGGGCACATCATTTCCGTGGAACTTACTCCTGGGGCGGTTTGTGTTGACTTAGAGTGAAAGTGGTTAACTTAATCTTATGAACATCTTAAACATTAAATGAGCTTTGTAAACAGCTATATTCTCCAGGCAAATAGGGAGTTTTGTTTTACCTCTTTAAACTCTATGGTGTATCTGGGCTTGGAAAAGTGGAATGTGGAGGGGCTTGGTTCTGCAGCACTCACGGCTGCCCCGGAGCCTCCCGATAGAGTTGCCTCTGCCAAGGGCCCAGCTCTGCCCACAAGCCCCTCAGTCCCTCATTTGGCTACCAGGAGAAACAGGACAATGTGTAGCCCTTGAGTGGGGATAGAAAGTGACAAAAGAGAAAGATACTTTTCTTTACTGGTTCCAAACAAAATTTAGTAACTGATAGTTGGCCAGTTTTAAATTTTGTATCTTCTTGAAAAACTTTTTGTTTTCTGGTAATTGTGAATTCACACACATTTTTTAAGAAATAGCACAAAGAGGTCCTGT